GTCTATTCATAATGTTCTGACATTCTTTAGCATATTCCAGACCTCAATATGCTGACTCTCCCCCCAACCCCCTGCTGGCACAGATTTAAGCACCTCCATGGCTCTAAAACCACATCAGCAGTCACTAGAACTTCATATAGCACCCTACCCCATCTGGGCATACCCTAGAGTCTCATCTCTCTCCTCATGAACAAGAACACACTGACCTCACACCACCTTGACCCCTAATACACCAGCAAATCTCTGACAGCGCTAAGTAAGACACTTCCCTCGCCAGTGATCCTCCTCCCATATATAGATAGACACGCAACTCTGATACTCATTCGCGCAGGCTCTGGTCAGCCTCCAGGCCTGACCAAATAGCATTTACTGAGCCTCATACCACCGTCATTTCCACATGCGCTATGACCCCCCAGTACACGCTCTCAACTCTCCAGGTCTTCCACTGCCTCCCTGAGCATACTGTGGACCCTCGCACTCTGCAGTCCTTCACGGACACATACATAGTATTAACACCACCCTAACCCTCATTAGCACACAGCAGGCCTCAGTGCCGTGACCCTATTAGCACACCTCCTGGTACCTCTACACCCTATCCCCCATTAACACATACAGGGCCTCTATTGACCTATACCTGCATTTGCACATCTCAGCACTCCTCTGATATCCCACCCCGTCGTATACCCTGGGGTCCCTCCATCGCCCTGCACCCCCCAACTCATTAGCACACACTGGGCCTCAAATCTTACACAGCGGCAAGACACTTTATTACCACAAGCTCCGACCACTCCACAGCTCAAGCTCCCATTAGCAAATCTCGAGTCTTTCGCCACTCTGCCACCCACTTCCACACCCTCTGTCCCTTCCAACACCCTGCTCCCCATTAGCACCCGCAACACTTCCATCCCCAGCTCCCAGACCCGGCCCAGGGCGGGGCCAAGGTCAGGGAGGCCTGGAATGACCCCCCCCCGCCCCGGTGCACTCTGGGAAATTCGCTGGGGGGAGGAGACACATGCCAGCGGAGCAGCTTAGACCCCGGGCACCGCCCGGGGTCTGGGTGGGGTCAGTAGGAGGAAAAGTAGCCCACACCCCACGTCTCGAGGACGCGCTCACCGGCGGGGGCGCGCGAGTAACCTCAGCGCCGCGAGGCCGGCGCGGCGGCGCCTGGGGCGGCGGCCCGGGCTGAGGCCGCGCGACCTCTTTCTCCTCCTGTTCGCCGCAGGCGCCCGTCCCAGTAGTCTTCGGCCATGGCTGCTGGGCCCGGGCCGCCGCCGGCTGAGGAGGAGGAGGCGGCGGCGGCGGCGGCGGTGGCTGAGGCGGAGGCGGCGTCCCGCTCAGCCGGCCATGAGCTTGGCCGCTGCGGGCGATGCCCCCGGGCTCGTTGGCGCCCTCTCGAACCCGAGAGCTCACGGCGGCTCGCGGTTCAGAGCCGACTGCTCACGGAGACGCGGCGGATCCCACAGCGGAACAGCCAACGGCCCACCCGCCGCGCGCGCCGCGCTCCGCGCATGCGCACGCACGCGCTGGTCAGGGTGCAGTGGGAAGGAGGGGACTCACCTCGCAGTGCACGTACCAAGAGACCCGTCCGCCGCGGGAGGGGGCGCGGCCATTGCGCGCCCACCCGGGTGTATGGCGCCGGCCCTAGAACGGCGCCAGGGGAAAGTGTAGAGGTTATAGTACTCAGTTTCGATCTTACTAGAAGTTTGCTAGCGCCAGGGTGGGCTGCAGCCAGTAACCAACGTGTCAGTCACCACTCGCTCCCCCTACGCGGTCTCACTTGGTACATCCCCATGGTGGCAAACGGGACTTTTGCAAGGAGGAAAAAGATGATGCAGTCAGCTCCAGTCCCTGGAGGTGCCTCGGCAGGCTGAAATCTTAAAGGTTCTCGAGAAGATGACTCTTCTGGGAAAGGCGGCCAGGAGAATCATTGGCCTTTATCACCTTAGATAAGACAGAGTCTAGTCCCGCCCGCCTAGCTTCCTTCCTCCGCCCCCAACACCCCGCCCACCGCTAACTCATTCCCAGTGTGAACGTGTGGCCGTCCCGCCCTTTGAGGTGATCGCCCAACCAATCGGGCTTGCTCCCTGGGGTGAGGCCGAGCAAGAATGAAGGGCGTGGCAGGACTGAAGAGGCGTGATTTCGCTGCTACGGTCACCACCGCCACGCCTCTGCCCGATTTTCATTGGCTTCCACCCGACGGAGGGCAGGCCCTTCTTTTTGTTCTGCGCGTCAACCCCACTATAGGTTGAGCATCACTCAAGGTGATTGTTCAAAAAATCATTCAGTCTATTTTCGTCCCGCCCTCGGCCCAGCCCATCTCCCTCAGCTAGGCTCACGTGGTGGAGCCTAGGCTTAGACGACAGAAAAGGGGGATCATTAGTGCATTACTGTGCAAGCTTGGGACTTTGAGTTGGGAAGGGGCCTGTTTTCTGCTTCAAACGAGCATTTGTGTATGAGTCCCAAACTCGGTTTTTCTGCATTGTCAACTATCTCCTCTTCCTCTCCGGAGCCCAGCCCACGGTTCCTCCAACGCTATGGTTTTTCTATTACATTTATTGGGAGCCTCTTGTCATGTGCTGCTGGGCTGACCTAATCCCTCAGCCCTCTCTGCCTGGAAAACTAAACTGTCACCAAGCTTCGACAGTAGTCTTCAGCAAGCCTTCTGGAATATCTTTTCCCTGCACTCCAGTCCAAAGTTCAGCTTCTCTGCCTCTTCTGGACTTTCCTTTATGGCAGCTTATCACATCAGCTAGTTTCAGTTTCTCACACTAGCAAGGATTCACAGGACCATGTCGGGAGTGGAAATATTTTGACAAAGACAAAAGTCCACCGAGCGCTAGACCACCAGGTCCATCACGTCTTAGATCTCATCTCCATCTCCTACCCTTCTTACTCTGCTCCTGCCAAACTAACCCTCTTCTAACATGACCCAGCAGCCTCCCCAGCAGCCTTGGGGACTTTGCACTTGCCATTCCCTTTCCCTACTCTGCTCTTCCTCCAGATATCCACGTCTCATTCCCTCACTTCTTCCAAAGTCCTTGCTTCAGCACCCCTTGTTCATGAAGCCTTCCCAGATTAGCCTATTTAAAAGTGCCTACTTGCACACACACCCCCGCCCCCACACCTCACCACTGTAGATCCCCAAATCTGGCTTTCACAGACCTTTTGAATGGCACCACTTAACTTATTATCTGTTCTGGGTCTTACCCTAGCAGAACATACATATCCCCATCCTCACCCTCCCAGGACAGGGATCTTTTTTATCCATGGCTGTCGCCAATGCCTAGAATAGTGCCTGGCACAGTCAGCACTCAACAATTGCTGAATGCCCAAATGGCAAATATTCTCAGCAGAGACAAAAGGAGACAACAGTGTCACCCCGTCCTTAGTACCTGCTGGGTGTGGAGTGCTCAGTGCAGTGACCCAACAATCCCTACCCACTGAGCACTGGTGTCCTATCTTGCTGCGGTCATAATGGTAGATGAACATGAGAGAAGTAAAATGGTATGTGTAAAAGAACTAAGTAAGGTGCCCCAAGATTTCACAAGTTCTTGATGAGAAGAGGGTATCAAATTCAAATAAGGTATCAAGGATATTCAGCAGCTGCAGTGAAGGGATGGAGGTGTCTGGAGAATCTGGGGTTGTAAAGGGAGGAATACAGTAAGCTGTCTCGAGTACCATGAAGGAGCTGAGATAGTAGAGAAAGGAGACAGGGGAATAAAACTTGTGTGAAGTCTCAGGTGAGGCGTGGTCTGGGGTACTCTAGAGCAGCCATAAGGAAGTGCCTCTCCACTTAACCCAGACACTAGGGTCACCACTGAATACATGCCAGAATTTACAAAGCACTTCAGGACTCAATGTCCTGGTGGGGTGTAACAAAGAATTATGGAAGGATGAGGTCACCCATGCAGAGTAGGCCAAGGCAGGGGAAAGGTCATGAGAGGGAGACTAGCAAGACTTAACCCCGTGCCTGGAGTCTGGGGCTTTCACAGGCCTTTTGAATGGCACCAATTAACTTATTATCTATTCTGGGTCTTACCCTAGCAGAACATACATATCCCCATCCCCACCCTCCCAGGACAGGGGCTGACCCAGCAGTCAGCAGACATGGGGACAAGCTGTGATGTGTGGCAGGCTAAGTTCAGGAATAGAGGGTGCTATTCTCACACCCAAGTTTGAGTGAAGCAATCAGAGGTCTGTTTGAAAGTGAAAGAGAGAAGCTGGGGTCTGGCTGGGAGACAGAGGTATGCATGGCACCCTCAAGCAAGTCAGACTGGTGCTTTCAAATCTCTGAAGTACTCAGTCAAGACCAAGGACAGAGCGTGGGTATCTCTACAGTCCTGGTAGGGCCCATGGCTAACCTCCTACTGCCTGCTCTAACCCACCAACCCACAGCTGGCTCTTCTCAAAAGTAGGAAACCTCAGGACAGGAAGACCAGGCCTGAGGGGGCAGGGCAGGGTGGGAAAGGGACTATTATTCTATAGATGTTCTCAGTCAAATATTTTCACAAAAATTGCAAAGTATGCACAGGCACTTGCATTCCTCAGTCTAGCAAAGCTATTTAGGCTCCCCTGAGGCAAGAAAGTTGAACTAAGGGCACTGCTGGCATTCCCGGCACTGGGAACCATGATGGCAAAGGCCATCATGGCCTTTGCTTCAAGCCAGGTGGGAAGGGATCTGCCCACAAGGACATAAGCCACCCTAAGTCCTAGCCAACCTGTCGCCCTAACTTTCCTCTGTACAGACAGGGGACAAAGTTGAGAGAAGGAAAGGACTTGCTCACACACTACTCTGCACTACCTCACGACATCAGTAAGACGAGTGGGAGCTGGAGATGGAGAAGGTGAAATGAGAACCCAATTCAAACAAAGTCAAATGGTACCTGCTCTCTCTGGCTTCACAGGTGCCTCCATCTCTTCCTAAGCAGGGAGGACAGGAGGAAGGGGTGGGATTGAAGCCTATGGGTGACCACCTGAACCAGACAGCTCCAGGAAGTCCCTTCCTTCCCTGGAACCAGGAGGGCATGTCACGTCTGGGTTAATAACTCTTTATTAGGATTCAGGTTCCAAACAAGGTAGAAAGCGGTGGCAAGAGGGGTTGAGGCAGAGGGATGAGGACAGAATTGGCTTGGCTAGCTTGGCTTGCAACTTGGCTAAGCTGTGCCACTGCCAGAGGCCAAATGACAACTCTGGGCTGGGAAGGGGTCTAGACGGGTTAGGGCTGGGCCAGTCTACAGGAGTGGATGGGGGTCAACGAATGGTGTATCGTACATAGGGGACCTCGACGTCCTCGCCGCTCTCGTCGTTGCAGCACAGCTCAAGCACCAGCGCCCGCACATGGCGGCCCAGCTTTCGCTTCGACACACGGCTCACTATCTCTGTCATCCTGAGGGCGGGGAGCAGAGGGTCAGGGAGGCAAAAAGAGAGAGGGGAAATTCAGGTAGGTGAGGACAGAGGAGATGAAGGACAGGGAAGAGGAATGGGACAGCTGCAAGTTGAGGCTCCCCAACGCCCAACTCACGGCTGATCCAACCGTTCCTTGAGCTTGGCAGGTGGCATGAAGAAGGAGTAGAGCATGGACACTCCTTGGGACAGCATGGTGATCTCCAATTTATGTTCTGTCTGGAAGAGGAGGAAAGGAGGACGGCAGTGTCATGGTGGTGGACAGGTCAGCGAGTCACCTACACATTCCACCCCCAGACAGGGTGAGAGTGAGGAAGAGGCCTCACCTTAAAGTAGTCAAGGAACTGTTTGAGGGTCATCTCCTCACCATTAGGCTGCAGCCCCTGTACCTCAAAGCGATCCCACAACGTCCAGTCCTGGTTATAGTACTGCAAGACAAGGAGCAAGGCAATGAGATGGGGCCGTGAGAGGGTCTAGCCCTGACAGTGTCCTCACTCCACTCATGCAGACATGCCAAGCGTGCATGGCTTGGATCACAAGCCTCTGCTGTCCAAAACTCCCCAGTGGCTTCCACCTGGCCCCAAGCACTGAAACCCTTACAATGACCAACAACGCCCTACACATCATGGAAGTCCTATTCTCTCATTTCCCCCACACAAAAAAGCCTGCACATCCTGTCTCCTCACTTCCTCTAAGGCTGGACTCAAAGGTCACCTTTTAAACAAGGCCTTCTCTGACCATTCCACATTAAAAATCCCAAAACTATCCCCTCGCCACCACCTAGTCCTCTCAAATGATCCATTATGTTATTTATAGAATCTATTTCATGAATATAATCTGAGCACCCATTCTGAGAGTACCTGGCACACAGTGGGTGCTCAGTAAATATTTCATGAATGAATGAAGACAATAAAGCACTCAGCACAGCACCCAATGAATGCTGGCTGCTACTATTGTATAGGTACTAGTAATTACCCAGGACACAAATCAAATATCCCATCTTTTCTGAAGGCTTCCACATAAATTAAACTAGTACATAGAAAGTATTAAACACATGACTGAATACAGAAACCCTCATATGCTGACAGGCTATAACACCAACTAGAGCCAACTCTACACACGCACGCATGCACACACGCACGTACGCGCCAGCCACAAACCTACCTCCCTTATACAGGCCCTCACCTGGTGACGGGGTGCAGCAAGGGGTTCAGAGAAGCCAAAGAAGGGCAGGGCCAAGTTGAGGAAACCATTCTTGTAGGAGTCAAGCTGTCGGTGCCCCTGCACCACTTTGTACAGCTCCAGACATACTAGGCCAACCACAGCTGCTGTGGTTGTGGCAATGGCTGGGATGATCTTCCCTGCAATCAGCTTGCTCTGTGAGGAAGGGATCAAGGACATTGATAGTTAAAGTGGAACAGGTTCTGAGTCTGCAGAAGGAATGGAACATGGAGACTTCAAGCCTGGTAGGGTAAAATGTCAGGTCTAGTTGCTCTCACCTTGTGCCGGTCTGCAGGAGGAATGTCATAGTTCTCTGCCCGGAGGTTGGATGCAGCCACAATGAAATCCATATGGAAATTGCTGTCATCATCCTGTTATGGGGGGTAGAAAAGGGTTATAGAGAAAGACAATGAGGAACGAATGAGAAGAGGAATTGGATTACTGTTATCTGAGGCACCTGTATTCTCTACTGAAATTACCTGCTGGGCTCTCTCAGACCACAGAAGCATGGCTGGGAATACCTATTCATTCAGGCAGACCCGTAAAACAATCCCTACAAAAGTCTGGGGCTGCCTTCAGACGCCCCAGAGACCTATTCTGTACAATCAATCTCTGCTTTGCACACCCCCCTGCCCCTGCTCAGGGCCCCCACCCAGCACCTTCTCAAAGTCGATGGGGTACATCTTGAACCCAGGGAGCTTTTCTGGGCTGGGCAGTGTGGCCTTGAGTTCCTCTAGACGGCTGTCATCTGCAGGAAGAGAAGGATACCATCAGCCCCTTGGATACTAGGCCAAGGTCAGAGGTGGAATCAGGAGGCCAGAGTGGAGCAAAGGTGTTCGGCAAGGTACATAAGGGATTTCAGAAAGAAAAACATCATGGCAGAGAGGAGGGGAAAGGGGAGAGGTAGGGTGGAACAACAGGTACAAACCTGAAGAAAGAGGTGGGGTATATCAAGAGAGGCATCTCTAGAGATATAAAGGAACTGACATGAGGACAGTAGGACAAAGTGGAGATAGATCAAGTTTTTGGAGATGGGGAGAACATGGAGGAAGATAGAGTGGGAGGAGGGATGAAAGGAGGAGGGAAGGGCCTCCCTTGTGGCGCAAGGGTTAAGACACACCTATGAAGCTGTCTGTAGCCACTGCAGCACGAGTTCGCTCCCCAGCCAGGGAGCAACCCACATGGTGCAGCAGACCTCTCCTGTCTCTCCCGCTGCTCCCCTCAGCAGTGTATTTCAGTCAGTCTGCCTGTTCTGTTCCCCACTCTGTCTCTGGTGCATCCTCTCACCCCCACACCTCTGGCCTGTACCCCAGTTCTTGTATGCATAAATAAATCTTTTAATAAAAAAAAGGAAGGAGAAGGGAAGTTGAGGGGTAAATATGCAGCTACAGAAGGAGATGAGGAAAGGAGAGAATGGGAGCATATGCAGAGGGTAAAGCAGGTGGGAGGAGGTTTTACATACGTAACAGACACACTTTATGTATTTTTACATATATTAAATGTACCTTTTATGGACCTCCCGCATATGCCATATATATGCATTTCGTATACTTAACTTTACATACACACGCGTGTGTGTGTATATATACACACACACACACACACACACACACACACACACCCCTATACAAGGAGAAAGTTGGAGGAAACACATGAATTGGAGATGTGGCTATCAAGAGGAAAAGACCACAACCCTCAGATAAACAGATCAAGAAACAGAGAAAAAGTTATTCTTTCCAAGGCAAACACACACAGAGTAAGAGAAACAAATAGCTAGTTCCCCTGAGGGTCAGAGAGCAGGTAGGAGGAGAGGAGAGGGAGGGAGAGAACCGGCCCCAACTGACCCTCTTTACTTTAATTGGGAGGGAGGTTCGAAAAGTGTGGGGACGCCTCAGGCCTGAGGTTTCAGAATAGAGCCAGGAGCAGGGACTGGTGGGGAGGCAGGACTAGGCAGGGAATAAGAGGGGGTGGTGGCTCTTTCTTGGCCGACTGGCCAAACACCCTCACCAACAGAGGCATTGGCGCTCTGCAGCTCCTGGTCAGAGACGTGGATCTTGACACCAGACTTGGGGGTGAACTCAGGGACTTGCACAGACTGGAGGAGTGTGGCCACAGCAGCTCGATCCTGAGAGCCTGTCAGCCCATAGGTCTGGGCAAACAGGTTGGCAGCAGCCATCACGTAGTCCAGATGCAGGGGCTGAGAGAAGGCAAGGCTCAGAAGGGTGAGCACATCAGTCCTCCTTTGGGGAGTCTCAGCCTCCTTCCCCCTAACCCTTGGTGACCCCAGGGAGAACACTTACATTGTTGACATCGAAGGTGAGAGGGTGTGGACAGCGTTTGGGTCCAGACCAGAATGGGGCTCCCGAGCTTGTGAGCTATAGAGATATTTGAGGAGCAGGACCTGATGGTGGAGGCCTCTCTAACAACTGTAACCCCTCACCTTTGACCCCAATTGTGCCTTCTCTCACTATCTCTGGCCAGGCACATACATGGGGGACTGAAGTCGATCCTAAGAGACCTCGACTGTAGGGTCCCATGGATCGAAGTTCCGTTGCCAACCAGGGATCCCACTGAGAAAACTATCAATTCCTGGGTACTTACTTTATGCAAGATACACAGCCATTTAACAAATTTTTACGGATTGTCAGGTAATGTACTAACAACAGTAAGTACCAATAAATCTTCCCCCAAGATGTGGATTACTATTATCTCTATCTCACAAATGAGGAAACTGATCTACAGAGACCTGCCCCAGGGCAAATGGAGCTTGGCTTTCAACTCACATCAATTTGTGTGCTCTTAATGCCAAAATTTCTCCACAGTTCTGGGAGTCAGGTAGACAGCTCACACCACAGAAACCAAGTCTCTTGGTTCAAAGGAAAGTGGACAGGGAAACAAAGGCATAACCTGGGATTGCCATGCCTCGGGGCCTCTGCCATAGCTGGACTAATGACTGGGAGGAGTCAAGTCACATGGAGAAGCCTCCAGCAGGTTCCTGTTTGGGGAAGTGCATTCCACCAAATGGACCTGGCAAGTGGGCATTACCTGATCGGGAGGGAAGTTGTGCAACAGCTGTCGGATGTTGTTAGAGTACTGGGTGTGCCAGTGGTGGCAGGCCCAGGTCACACAGTCAGCCCAGGTCTGTGGCCGCTGCAGCACCAGGCTGCGCTGCAAGGCCTCCAGCACCTCCAGGGGTTGCGTGCCCGCCAGCCGCAGTGTCCGCTCCACAAACTTGGGGTCTCTATCAGGAATTGGGAGGGGTCAAAGGGGCAAGATTAAACAGCGGCACAAGGAGCGGGTTCCAGGGCAATCCCACCTTTTCCATGGAAACTAGTTCAGACCCCCAGTGGCATTCACTGATTCGTTGGAAAAGTGTGCCTGGTGCTAGGGTGCAGTAATGCTGGAGGCCTTGGCGGGCAGGTAGAAGATGAAGCAAAGGGGCATTTGGTTACTCACGTGAGGTACTGGTTGACATTTTCTGCAGGCTGCTTGAAGAGGCCTTCAAATTCATCCCGAGCCCACTACAGACAGAGCAAAAGAATTAAATAGAGCAATGGTGACAAAAAGGGTTTCCAAAGGCAATAGAAAGACCAACAGAGAATAAACCAATAGGAGGAACAGGTACTTTGGGAGTAGGGAAGCACCCTAACCCTTCCCACTACCTCAACTCCAGCACCTCAGTTTAACAACCAATGAACTTGACCTGGGCAGTGGTTATACTGGTGAGTAGGTGAAAAAAAATTATACTTAAGATGGGTGTACTTTACAAGGTATGTTACCACAAAAAAATGAGATCCTGGGGAACTTGGCAGCAAGCAAGATAGAGGCTCCACCTCTAAGAATTCCAACGACTGTGAGTGAAGTCAGTGGTGAGGGGATTGGAGGATATGGATGTTAGTGATCTAGGTTCAAATCCTAATTCTGCCTACTTCAGGAACACTAACACCTGTTTCCTCTTTTCTAAAACAATCTACCTACCTCATAGGTTGCTATAAAGGAACAAGTATCTGTGTGTATGTACATGGGGGGGGGGTGTGTATGCGTATATGTATGGACATACTTAAAATGATGCCAGATACAGAATAAGTGCCAAAGTTTTAGGACAGTAAAGCTACCTGTGAGGTAGATACTACTGTCACCCCCAAGATACAGAGAAGGAATCCGAGGCATGGATGGAGAAGAATGTCTGATGTCACTCATGGCCTCGTGATACTGTGGCAAGGTGCACAAATACAAATACACATGCTCTAGAACAACATGGTAGGAAGGGAAAGTGACAGGGGACTGGTTTCCCCCCTTCTTATTTGGTTATCACCTGCGTACTCCTAACTAAACTTTCTGAAAGGCTTGTCCCCAAAGACTGCACTAAGAGTCATGCTACTGGCCCAGTGGTTTTATCCTTGAGTTGCAGTTTGTGGCCTGGGTGCCAGTTACCTAGGTGTGTTCACCTTACAAACCCAGCCCTGTGATGTGTACCAATCTGCATTCTGTATGTATATGCGTCACACAAACAGAATCACTCTGAAAAACCAGTTGTTTACCCTAATTTAAGCAACATCTGGGGAAACCTGAAAATAGACTGTGTAACAGACAAAAAAAAACAAGAAGAGATGGCTAAGAAATTACCACCAATTGTGCTTAGTATTAAAATGGTGTTTTGGTTCGACAGCAGTTCTCACCTGGGAGTGATTTTGCCCCCAGCGGACATTGGGTAATGTCTGGAGACATTTTCAGTTGTCACAGTTCAGAAGGGTGCCATTAGGGCTTAGGGGGTAGAAGCCAGCCATGCGGCTAAACATCCTACAGTGCACAGGATGCTCCCCCACCCATGACAAAGAAACATCCAACCTCAAATGTCAACAGTGCCAAGACTGAGACACCCTGTTATCTGGGTACATTACAGAAGCAGACTGAAGCACTAGGAAGTGAAGTGGTGTGCACGACAGACTTCAGCACAGAGAAAGCAAAAATTCATGAATCTAAGAAAATGTGGCACAACATGAAACTTAAATCTAGGTGAGCGGTAGTATCTGAGTATCCACCTTACTATTCTTTATACTTGTCCACAGTTGAAAATTTTTTAAATAAAAATTTTTAATAAGTGCAAGTCACCTGAGAAAACCAGACTGCTGCATGAGAAGCATGGGAAGGTTTGGAGGAAAAAAGCATGTGGTGTGCTTAGGCTGTGACACCTGAAGGCAAGGGGTCCAGCTGAAACACAGGGTGCCTTGTCCTCTTCCTATCCCCCCAAAGCTGATCACCTGCAGGGTGTGCTCGATGGCATTAGGGAAGTTCTTCAGAGTGCAGATGGGGATAGACTTCTCAGGTGGGTCCTGGCTAGAGCTGTAGGATTCTGTCAGGAAGGGAATCACCACCTGCACGTTGCCCTTGGTGCCCAGTGTGCCCGACTCCAGCAGCGGTTTACGGTAGTACACACAGCGGCGGTCCATGTACATGCCTGTGGGGGGGGGGGGATGGACGGACCTGAGTGCTGGAAAAGGAACATCAGGAGAGGACAGGAGACAGGTACCACCCCCCCCCACACACACACACACATTTTCCCTTGCCCGCCTCCAAACTCACGAGCATCCACATTGTCCAGGGCATTGGCCACCCCATCCAGGTTTTGAAAGAAATCATCATCATAGATACGCTCCGTGTCAGGGCCCACCCGGTTCTGGTGGCTTGTCACCCGGATGTGTGGGTTCATCTGGTGCACAGCTGCAGCAGCTGTGTCAGATTTTAATTTCTAGGGGGAACAAGAGTGGGGACAGAGGAGCAAAACTCAGTTATCATGCATTCACCCAACGAACCTCTATAGAGCTGTCCTCCTAAAAGTTGATTTAGTTAATGCTGGGGAGACCCAGGCCCTGAGTTCAGAAGGCTCCTTGCTATAGCTGGAGACGGTTGGTGACAGAGCCACACAGTTAGGGCTGTGATGAACTTGGCGGGGGCTCAGTGGAAAGGGAAGCCGTGAACACAGACTGAAATGACAGACCAGAAGTCTATTCTTTTACCTACCCAACATCAATTGTTCCTTCAGGTACCACCCAAGATTGGGATACATTCCCCCAAACAAAACGGGGTATTAGTACCGACATAGGCAGGATCCTTTCAAAGTCCAAGTCAGGTGACACTGCCCCTCTGCGCAAAACCCCTGGCTCTCAACTCCACTAAGGGTAAAATGAGTTGGCCCCCATTTCCTTTAGCGCGACTCCTACCTCCTTGGCCTGGGCTCTACTCTTGGCTTGGAGCCTGCTTCCCTAGAAGAGGGCTCTCCTCCCTCACCTTCCAAGTCTGCAGAAAGAAGTCCTTCCTTACTGCAATCAGAACTGAAAACCAATCTCCTCCCCCATGACCTCATCTTCTTCCCTTGTTTTTGCTGTTTCCTTTGCATAGCACTTATTAGTGCCATTATAAGCATCCCTAACGCATCATGCTTATTATTTACTGTCTGTTGTCCCCCACTAGTTTTTGTTTCCTTGGTATATACCAAGTGCCTAGAAGAGCACCTACCTCAGCAACTACTTGGGTGACTAAATGAATGAATGGAAAGGGATCAGGTCCTGGTTAGGCACAAATGACAGTCCCTGGCAGGCTTCCTAGCTAGATCCCCGTGTAACCTTGCTTCCATCTGTGCAGAGAAGAGTGAACCCAGCAGGCTTAAAGAGCTCTCCTAGGAAAGGCCTGCTTCCCAGGATGCCCCCTGGCTAGCATCTGGGGACCCAGATATCGGGAGGGTTCCCACCTGTTCCTACCTGATAAGGGTAGCCCACTGTGTCTAGACTGCTTGTGAAAACAAAGTGGCTTATGATGAACACCTGCTTTCCATCTGGGAGTCTGGAATTTGGGTACATGCCCAGTAGAGGGTGCCTACGTGACCAGCCCACAGTGAAAACCCTGAGCACTCAGTGTCTAATGAGCTTCCCTGGTTGGCAACATTTCACATGTGTTGTCGCAACTCGCTACTGGGGGAATTAAGTGTGTCCTGTGTGCCTCCACTGGGAGGAGGACTCTTGGAAACGTGTGCCTCATCTCCCCCAGACTTTGCCGGTGTACTTCTTCCCTTTGCTGAAAGAAATCATAGCCTGAGTACAAGAATATGCTGAGCCAGCCACTGCAGCACGAGTTCAATCCCCGGCTGGCCAGGGAGGTGACCCACATGGCGCAGCAGACCTCTCCTGTCTCACTCACTACTTCCCTCAGCAGCGTATTTCAGTCAGTCTGCCTGTTCTGTTCCCCACTCTGTCTCTGGTGAATCCTCTCACCTCCCCCACCCCGCATCTCTGGCTTACACCCCAGTCCCTATATGCATAAATAAATCTTTTTTAAAAAAAAATATGCTGCGTCTTGGAAGTTCTCCTAGTGAAGCAGGGGGCGGGGCGAGGGCTGTGCTTTGGGGTCACCCAACACACTTCCAACAAGCACTGATGAAAGATGATGAAAATGGGGGGAAGGAGATGAAAAATGGTAGATTCCACGGGAAGGTACTCAATATTTGACTGAGTGATAGAGGAAAGCTCAGGGGAAGAGTTAAAAGAAAGATAAAGTGGAAAGGCCTCCTTCTCAGAAAGAACAAAAGACAGAAGGAAAGTGAGATGACAAAGCCCCAATTCACTCACCGTGACATCCCAAGGCCTGAACAGAAACTGTCGGTTCAGATTTGACTTCTCAATGGTATCCATGTCCGTTATGACAATTTCTCCATCCTCCCCACAGCCCAGCCCAATCATGGCGAAGTTCTTGAGCAGCTCACAGCCAATGGCCCCTGCACCCACCTAGGAGGCAGCCAAGAACAGAGGCTAGTTAGGGTGACACAGATTAGTGTGAAGCCACCTCTCACTCACTATCCCTGGACACAGGAGAAGGAAGGAGGAGAAGGAAGAGGACGCAGTGCCACATCCTTGAGTCCTAGGGTCATCAGGAGGAGGGAAACAGACGAATACACCAGGCTTTCCCTCAAGACAAAGAAGGGAAAGACACATAATATAAGTACAAGAACCTCCCTTGGAAGAACCTCCCTTGGGAGACAGAAGCCCCCAGATGATGTGGCCAGAAAGAAGTCAAGTGAAGATAACCAGTGTCCAAGGGGATCACTCACCAGGAAATACTTCTGCTTGCCCAGCTTTTCTTGCAGGTCTGAGCCAAAGACTGCCACCTGCCCATCATAACGGTTCTGACGCTGAGGAACACAAAGGGAGAGAAATCAATGAGGGGCCTCACCAGAATTGCCCCCAGTGACACTGCCCCTGCTTTCCAGGGGCCCACTCACATACCGGGAGGCACTTGTCCTCTGTGAGGGCATCTTTGTCCTCAGGGAGACACTCCAGGGCATCAAAGTACAGCCACTGCATGATGGGCATAAACTTCCCTGAGCAGGCCTAGGGAGGGGTGGGGGGAGAAGGCATCAGTGTTTAGTTGCAACCTGACACAGATGGACAAGTAATCAAGTCAGGGAGGGCACCTGGCCCACCTCTAACCGTGCCTTCTCGACCCATGCTGACCTTCATGACTTCCTGGGCAGCCAAACCCCCAATGAAGGCATTTATGGGCGCCAGATCCCCAGCAGCCACATATGCCAGCTTCCGGATGAGGTCCTCATCCAGGCTATCCTGCTGCACCGCTGGCAGAGCTTGAGCATTCACAGCCTGTGCTAGGGTTACCAGCTCGGTTGCATCCTCCTGGTGGGGCAGAAGGAACCAAGAGAGCACCTGTCAGGCACTGTGGGGAAAAGGGAGGAGAGAGAGAGAGGGAGGGGGGAGGGAGGACAGGTAGAGAGGCATGGTGGGCCTTGGCACAGAGAAACCTGCCCTAGCTGGCTCACCCCACCACCTACCTCATTGCGGGGCCGAGGAGGCCGGCCATGCTGAGCACAGAACTGGTGCAGGGCCTGGAAGCCAATGTGTAGCTGGGCAGGGCGGGAATACTTAGCGAAGTCTGTCATCACAAAGTCGGGTTCTGCCAGTGAGGCCAGCAAGGATTTCTGTTGGGGAGAAGGGCATCAGAACCAGAAGAAAGAAATGGAGATCCTGGAAATGCTGAGAACCACCCCTCCAACCCATCCCCGCTTCCACCCCCACACTCACAAAGCTTATCTTCTTAGGTACTTTGACCTGACTGACAATGCCTCCACGGATGTAGTCAGAGAAGTTAGAGGTATCGCAGATGCTAAAGGTGTAAGGACCTAGGGTAGATAGGAGCGCTGTCAGGCTACCCACAGGCCCTCCCTAAAACCCACAGGCCCCACAAGAGAAGGAAAAATCCATCCCTGCCCCAGTTCAGACATCAGGAGTCATCTCCTCTCTCGCCTGGGCTCCACTTGGACAACAGAAGCCATCTCTCCTCTGTCCCAGACCCAGCTCAGAGCCCGAGACCTTATGACTGTGGCCCTAAGTATACACTGAAAGAGGCTTCCTGGTCCCTCTCCAAATCAGCTCAGATATGAGTAGACCCTCTGATCTACTCTGTTCAAACACCAGGAACCTTTCCTCCCCTCAGTTCAGATACCAGGGACCTAGTCTCCTAGAAAAGCTAATGCACAAGTCAGCACCTCTCCCCAATCCCCATGCCTACCAGAGCTCAAGCTGGACACCCAGGGGACTCCAAGTGTCTGGGTCATCTAAGACACCCAGGAAGTGTCTCCCCTCATTCAGAAGCCTTCAATGCCCTGGCCAGAGCCCAGGGATATAGCTCCTGTGTCCCATCTGAATCCCCCAAGGTCCTAGCTCACCCAGGACTTTGATCTCCATGGGCTGACTTCCATTGAGTTCAATCATGCCCTGTACTTCTGAAAAGGAGACAAAGTCACCGCTCTCAAATCCATGTCGGGCCTCATCCAGGCAGGTAACCACACCGGGACTGTCCTGGTTAAAGGAGAAGTGACTCTCAGTGGCAGGCTCAGGAGCAGACAGGAAAGCCTGCTGCTGCCCACCCTCTGGCCAGGACCCCTGAGGCCGCTCTACTCACCTTGGTGACCATAGAAACCATAGCGCTGAGCGGCTGCTCCCCATTGGAATCTGTGAGGACCATTTCCTCTCCAAAATCACAGAAGAGTTGCCTGCAGAGGAAAGCAACAGGGCTGATGCCTGAGTCCCAAGCACAACGGGAGCCCTATGTGTCCCTCAAGATGCAGCAAATACTTGCTGAGCAAATTCTGCCCCTCACAACTGGGAATCAGGTGACATTCACATGGGGAGAAGTAAACACAGAATCCAACACCTGGGGGGCTGAGGGTAATGAGAACTGGGGGGGGGGAGGGGGTCTTGGTTTGGGCCTGACAGGATTGGGAGAAAAGAGTAGGGGGCACTCACCCAAACAGACCTCGGGTATCTGCCACCACCAGCTTGATGCCACGGCTATGACAGAACTCACCCACCCGCAGCTGGTCCTCCAGGGGGGTGTTAGTGAGGACCACCACCTGTGGAGAGGTGGAAGTTCAGGGCAAGGGCCCAGCACTGGGGAGGAAAGCAAGGGAGGAAGGCTGGTGTGGAGTATTCAGAGAGTCCCAAAGGCTTGGCCGGTTCAGAACCTCTTTCACAAAGTATCTAGTGTATATCAGGCTCAGTCAGGAGGACACTTAGTGAAGAGAAATGTGAATCCCTAGACCACAGCAGACAAGGGAAAGAGGCAGCTGGAAGGTCTGAGTTTGGAGAACAGCTGACTCAATTATTTCCCAACACCCACTGCTGCCTGCCTACAACCCTGCCATGCCCTACAAGACACAGAAGTAAAAGTCTGTCCCCAGCCAAAGTCTGAGCTCACTCCTACCACACCCACTTGCTCCCAATTCTCAAGACAATGCTTGCTCAGCCATGATACCTGCGACTTTGCTCTTTACCAGGAAATGCACCCTTCCCCACCAGAGTGAGTGCCTATTCCTCCATCAGGGTTCAGCAGCAGTGCCCTGGCTCACTGAGACATCCCAGGGCAGAATCCCAGTTCCCACAGCTCTTTTTTCCACCCCAGAGTTCATACTAACAAACCACCAGAGAATCCCTATCATGCGCAGGCTGCTATTCTAAGTGTTTAGAATAGCAAAACATTCTACCAATGTTTTGTGATGACATTCTCCAAAAATCTATGAAGTCGATATTACTACCATGCCCGAGTCTACGAACAGAAAAAAATAAAGCATAAGAGACTAAGTGATCTGCCCAAGGTCATACCAGTAGAACTAGGGACTCAAGCCAAAGCAGTCTAGGTCTAGCCTGCGCTCGAAACCATTCTACTGTACTGCCCGTTGACAGTGCCTCCCTGGAAAGGCAGGTCCAGGGTCTAAGTCCTGCCTGCATCCCCCAGCTGCATCCCCAGCATGAAGCCCAGCACACAGGGCCAGCCTATGTATTAAATACAAACACTGCCTATGTATTAAATACAGCCATTGTATTAAATACACATGTAACAACCTGCAGACGGGCTCTGAAAGAACTGGACAAGAGGTTGGGTGCTATCCCAAGGTACCTGGAAGCCACTAAGAAAGTCCTCAATGAGGGGTCCAGTGTAGGCACTGACAGGCACATAGCTGTTGAGCTCAGCGAGGCGGGGCTGTGAGACCTCAGCTCGGTTCTTACCAATATCCTCCTCCCGCAGGTAGAACTGCCAAGGAGAACAGGAAAAGAAGTGAAATGGCTGCAGAACCTGGGGAGTAGGAGGTGTAGGGGGGCACTGGGCCTTGGCAGGGAAGAAGGGGGCTGGGAAGAGGTACCTGGGAGGAGAGGTCAGCCCACTGGGCAGTGCCCTGGTCATGCAGGGTGACAGCTTTGACCCCACCAAGGATGATGTTCTTTGCAATCTCCACACCCAGGCCCCGCAGGCCTGATACCAGTACGCTGGATGTCTGGAGCCGCTTCATTGCCTCATGGCCCAACACATACCTGCCAGGTTAGGGGGCATTCTGGGTCAGGGCCTGGGCCTCCTGACTTTATCCTCCCAGTGCGCACCCACCTTTCAGTTCAACCATAGCCCCACTTACAGCTGCCGGGAGTAAAGGCCCTCATCTATGTCTGCTTCGCTGCCGTTCTTCGCCATTCCCTAGAGATGGAGAGAACAGGTTAAGGGAGACACACAGAAGTAGGGCATGGCCAGAGTACTAGTAATATAAAAGACTTTTCTATCCACCCCCACCATCCTGCCTGCCAGTCTCCAGGGAGAAGACACTCACGTTGGTTGGCACCGAGGGCACTTCGGACAACACGGAGTGGGCAGGGGAGCAGTTAGAACCCGGCTTTGGATCAGGCCCGGACACGCGACGTTTCTTGGACAGCGGCGAGCTGGACATCTGGAAAGCAAAAAGAGGGACAGAGGTGAGTCTGGGGCGCATGGGTAAATGGTTCTGTTGGTTAGTGGTAACTGTGGGGGAAGGGAAGACTTATGTACTAGTAGCCCCATTTTACAGACGAGGAGACAGGTACAGAGAGATGAGGTGACTTGCCCAGGGTCACAGAGCTGTCAGAACTAAGATCTGAACCAGGTGGCCTGGCTTGTAATCCATGCTGCTGCCCACTAGGCCATTCGCCTTTCTCCCCCAGCCCAGCATAATGAGATAAAGTCTCCAATCCTGCAGGGTGAAAGGAGTGACAAGAAAAGAAAGTACTTGTGGGGAGGTCAGAGGAGAGAGGGAGATTCAGGTCAGGCCCAGTTTCAAATCTTGACTCTGCCACTCCTTGACAGAGACCATTTAACCCCTGCAGACTCAGTTCTCTCACCTGTAAAATAAGTTGGTAACACCACTTCCCTACACCATGGAGTTGGTGAAGTGATGAGAAATAACAGACCATAGAGCCTGGCACAAAACAGGTAGGCAATGACAAGCAGCCATTCTCCTCTCCTTTAACCCCTGCAACAGGGGTGCTGGAGGGAAACACGGCTTGGATATCCAGCAGGTTGGCACGACAGCACGAGATACAATGCTGAGAACTCAGTCCCCAGAGGACTCAGAGCAAAATTTGACAAAACCCAACACCCAACCCCAAGCTTTGGGAGGGGAAACTTCCCAGGTCAATAAAAGAGGTTGCAGGGAGCAAGAAAACCCATATTTCCCAAGCTCTGTCTGCATGTGGAGTCCCTTTAGCAGGATAATGATAAATGAATATTTATTAGGAATCCTCCCTGTGCCAGATGTCACACTAAGCACTTTATGAGCCTCACCTCACTTCAACCTCAGGGCACCCCTGAGGGATTTGGACTACTGTCAAAAACAGCCAACTCACAATAGAGGTTAAAAAAAAAAAAATCACTCAGGGACATTTTGCGATTCAACTAAAGTGCCCACAATGTTTGGGCTAGCCAGGCCAGACCAGGATCTGCTGAGCCTAAAGCCCAGGCTGTCTCCCAGAGTTATCACCTTTCATCCCCTCAAAGTGCGTGACCCTGCCAAGGCAGGCACAACTCTCCTTCCAGAACAAATGAGAAAACCTGAGCTCAGGAGGTCAAGTAACTTGCCAAGGGTCACACACCAGGTTCCAGAGACAGATACACCCTGTTGTGGAAGTGAAATCTGGGGTAAGGGGTGATTGGCTGCAGACACTGGAGACAACAGGACCCTGAATCACTTCCCCTTACCCCCATTGCTCCACTAAGCCTCTGTTCTACACAGGGTTTTTTCTGACACCCAGTTACACCAAGCACTCTAGCTGAGATTCCATCTTGGCACCTGTCACACCTAGCACTAAGTAAGATGACAGAAGCTCCCTATCACCCACCAAGAGCTTACTGCCAGTCAACCACAGGGCTATGGGCTTTGTCTAATCCTAACAATGCCAACAAACCAGACAATTATATGCCCACATCACAAGTAAGAAAACTGATCTTCAGGCATGTGCCCAGAATCACACAGCTATTTTCTGTTTTCCAAATGCTTCCTGGGGGAATTGAGTCAGGATCCAGTTCACACCAGCTCACAGGGATAAGGGGTAAGGCAGGAGGATCCAGGGCCTCTGAGTCAGCCAATTGAATTGCTGGGAATGCTAAGAACCAACGTAGGTAGAAAAGAGGCTTGGTGAGTTAGTAGGAAGAAAAAGGCAAATCATATTTTTCCATTTACTGACTCTGACCTGGGGTAGGTGTGTCATTTCCTGTAAGTCCCACTTTCTCCAAATGCAGGGACAAACAGAACTATCCTCAAGGGGTTGCTGGAAAAGTTAAAAAGGCTACAGTCAGAGGACATAGGAAAGCACCTCCCTGGGCACCTGCAGTGGCCTCCATTACTTACCTCCTTGCCTTGTCATTGATTTGTTTGTTGGGGACATACCATCTCCCCAATCTTTAAATCAAGAAAAGATCCAGGGCAGAAGGAGCTTTTACCTCTGAGCCCCTAGTGCTGTCAACAAGAGTCTAAAAAGCAGATTTTGGTTGATTGTTCAAAAGCGGATTTCAAGTTGCAGAGACTTAAAACAAGCCCGTCTCAAAGCAATCAGAAGGGATCTGGAGCAGAAACCCTAGAGAGGAGTTAAATATCCCTACCCCTGGCACAAAAGTGACACCCTTTCTCCCTCAACATCTGCCCAGACCCCAACTAGGATGCACATACTATCAATTGTTCAGCAAAGCTGAACTGGAACTTTGTTTCAAAACTTGCCTGGGGTCTCTAAACTGGAGATTTTGCAGCCTGAGCACAATCTCCCATCCAAACAGAGAAGGAAGCTTGAGGTGGGAGTCTTGGAGCAGGTTTGAGAGGGGGCAGGCACAGGGTCAGAGGATCAGGATGGAGAAGCTAGGGCACAGGATGTGGCCTGCCAAGCCTCACGGGAACATGAGAGCAGTCAGGAGGTTGTCTGAGCCCAGGGAGGCTGAGGAAGATGGACAGTGGGATGTTAGAAGCCCTGGGGGACAAGGTGGGGTAGGGCAAGGCTAAGAAAGACTCAATTCTGGATCTTTGGAAAGGGATCTTTTTAAGGAAGGGACAGGAAACTGCAGTGGAGCCCCCAGAGGTTGCAAGGAGGTAGGAGAGCAGCTGCTGGACCCCATAGTCACCGCACAGAGAAATGAATGGGAGATTCTGGAGCCCAAGGAAGCAGCAGAAAGATGCTTGGGTCTAGTAAAGAGGTATACACTACATACGATGAGGGTGGATGCTGAGGCCCAGGGTGGGATCGGGGAGGGATCTCTAATGGAGCACAAAGGCCTTGTGTTGATCTACCTCAGTTGCTCTGAAGGAGTGGAAAGGGAAGACTGAGTGCAGACAGTTCTGGCCCTAAAAAGTTCAGTAATAAGCAGATACTGGCTAGGTCCCCAAGTGGAGTTGGGTTTCTCTGAACAATTATACAGGATTCTGTGGAGACTCTGAAAATAAATGCTGAAAAGAGAGTTTTCTATTCTAATGGCAGACAACTGGTCCTATGGAGGGAAGGGATACCTGACAATAATGTCAGGGTCCTAACAAAACTGAAAACAAAAACCGGGGGTCTCTGACTGAAGATGTCAGAGGAACTCGAAAAGCTGTGAGGGCAGATTCTGAGGCCTGACAAGAGGTTAAGCTATCTATGAGAGAAGCAGAACCCTGGTTGGCTTTTGAAGGCAGAGACTTGACTGAAGGGTGGGGTTTGGAAGGTGAGCCTCTGATGGAGAGAGCGAGGAGCCAACGGGGTCTGCAAGGGCAAATGCTGGCACAAGAATATCTGATGGAGGATTATGTATCCAAACAGTCCCTCCCTAGTGTTTGGTCCCCTAGGAGGGTCTGAGGAAAGATACTGGGGATAGAGGTGTCGGATGAGGAGATACTGAGGCCTGAAAGGGGGTAGTCTCTGATGAAAATACTGGGACCATGAAAAAGGGGTCAACCTCTTAAAGTATCCAAGGAAATATTCTATGCATTGAAAGATTCTCTAAAAAGCAGATGAGGAGGGAAGGGCCCTGCACTGAAAAGGGCCAGGGTGGGTTGGAAGACATCTGAGATATGGAAAAGGGGTCTCTGAGGAGGCCAACCTTTCACAGGGTCTAGTCCCCTTGGAAGTTCTATGGGCAGATAGCGGGACGAGGGTGGTGGCAGGGAGGGAAGTGTCTGAAGGAAAATACTAGAGAAGACTCTCAGAAATGAAGGCCATGTGAACCCTCCTCGGAGTGTGGCCTCTCTTGGAAGCTTCAAGGGCCAGGCAAATATGGAGAACTAGGGGTGTCTGAAAGGAGATTCTAGGGAAGGCCTTTGGTGGCATAGATTGGGAGGGGAGGGTCTTTGACCAGGTGCATAAGTCTCTAGTGGAAACTGGGGAGGAGTTCCGATCTAACATACAAGGTTCGGGACCGGGTCAGGTCCCTGACTCGGGATGTTGAGCCTTAGTTCTAAGAGCGGATCCTGGGGGTCTGACTCCAAGGTCAGACTTGGGAGCCATAGGGACTGGGCTAGTCCTGGATGGGAAACGTCGGCCCCGCCCCAAGAACTGCCCCCCCACCCCATTCCCCGCCGAACCCTAGCGTTCGAGTCACCACAGCCCGCCTCGACAGCAACCTGAGCCAGCACCAGCCTAGGCCCCTCCAATGCTTCCTGAAACCCCTGCCCTGGTCAAGGCGCTGTGAGAAAGGCTGTTTGTTACCAATGCCGGTTCCCCGGGTCGCGCCGCCGCCAACTCCTCTAGGAGCCGAAGCCAAGCCCGGCCGCCACCCTCCTGCTTCTCCTCCTCCCCGACGCCTGGGCCGCCTAGAATCGCCGCCGCCTCCGCGTTCTCCTCTCCCAGGCGTCGTGGTTGTGGTCTTCCTCGCCACCTCCTTCACCTCAGCCGCCGACACAAGATGGCGGCCGCTTGAGCCTGGGGCCGGAACAAAACCTCGGGCCCCACCCCCAGGAGCCCGGATGCAGGCAGGCCGCGCCCATCATGCCCCTGACTCATTCATTTGAAGAGGACTAGCTCCACCTGGTGGCTACCGTAGCAGTAACTAAGAAAACAGGTAAAACAACATAAAGGCCACACCCCAAGGAACTTGAATAACTTGTTGCAGCCAGGCTGCTATGGAAACCGAGAAAGAACCTCAAGGCCCAGCTTCCTCACCATGAATTATGCATGAAGCCGGGCGGATGGTTGACTAAACGCGGCAACCAGAAAGCCAGTGTTAACACACGAAGCCACGCCCCCATTTCTCATGAATAATGAATGTATTGCCGCAGCCGGAAGTCAAAGAGACCTAGGCCACATTCATCATGAATAATGCATGAAGCCAATGTATTTGTGCGCTGGAACAAAAGGGACAGGTTTAGAATACTGCTGCATCTACGGGTGCATTGGTGAAGGAAACTCTATTGGGAGTACACCTGAGGTGGTGGGGGGAAGCAAATATTGTTGAAAAATGAACAATGATGTAAAAAAATAAAATTAATATTAAAAAATGTAAATGCATAAAAATACTGCTGCATCTAATACCCCATAAATAAGAAAATTGTGCTACTGCATAGAAAACATACTCCCCTCTCCCGTTCATGAATAATAAATAAAGAATTGCCGCAGTTCATCCTGGAAATTCAGAGGTCAAGAAAGGTTCCACCCAGTTTCATGAATTATGCATGACGCCGGAAGGACTGAAACGTTTGACAGCCCTGCCCAGCAAGGGGCGGGGTTATATTGTACTCTAGCCAAAGCAACATGACCACGCCTTTCTGTCCATGAATAAAGACAATGAAGCAGAGCCACAGAGGAAATGTAGCTGCCTTCTCCCCAACATCAGGACTACCATGGTCGAACCAAATCCACTTTGGCGGGTGCCGCAGTTTCCAAAACTGTAAAATGGGGATAGGAATAGAGCTCATCACCTCATAAAGGCGAAATGTATTACCAAAATTAGAGAACATGAATTATGGAATGAGCTTGGAACAGTGCTGGCACAGGGCACTGTTTAATGTTTAAGTATTATATACTAAAATAAAGGTAATATGTAAGAATATTTATATTAATACAAAATTAGTTATGTGTAGAGCAGCCGCTAGAGAAACATCCAACTGGGGGTATTATTTTTAAAATAATGCCTTGATGTACCACACCAGAAGGACACTGGAAAACAGAATGTTAAGGTACCAATGTCTGCTAAAAAGGTAGGCTAGACAACCAGATCACCAGGCATACAATGATATACCAAAGCCCCAGGCACACAATAAGCAACCAGTACATTCCTGTAGAATAATAGATCACATTAACTTATCACCTACAGTGTGTTGGCTCCTGTGATGTGTTTTCTCCATGCACTGTCACTGATCTCAGGAAAGCAGAGCAGGAAATTGGTTCATCTCAAAATGGAACTCCTTAAAGAGTTCTCAAACCCTCACAAAAATCATTTTCACCACCAATGACTGGTTATGTGACTTGAGGCCAGACACTTCAATTCTCTGGGCCACGGTTTCCCCACTCATAAAATGGAAGTAGTAGTACCTATCTTGTGATGGAGTTTAAATGAGTAATATGGAGAAAGGACTTAGACTAGTACCTGGCACACAGTGCTATATGACTAACATTAGTAGTACCATTAAGTTGATGGAGATGTGAGGACATTTCAACCTTGATAAAGACTACAGACTCGAACCAGACAGGCTGGGTTTGAATCCTGTCACAGCTTCTCACTGTGTAACCTTAGCCTCCCGGTGTCCCAGTTTCCTCATCTATAAAATGAGATAATAATAACCTATCTCCTAAAACTGTTGTTGAGATTAAATGGGCTAATAAAGTCTAAATGAGTATAAACTAATCTGATCTTCTTATGATCATACCCATTTTTCAGATTCACAGAAGGATTTGCCAAAGATCACACAGCTGGCAAGAATGGATGGGATTTGAACCTTTGTTGGTAATCTGGGATTACTGGGCCAAAAGGAATGAACTACGCATGAGGCTTCTTCCCTTTGCTAGATGCCAGGTTAAAATCCTGGGAATCTGTAAGGGAAAGCCAACAGCGGATCATGCAGATAAAGCCGTAAAAGTCGCGCCCCTTATAAATTATGCACAACACCCCTAGAAAAGTCACAGAAAATTCGGGGCGCCACTCACCTTTACCATTAATCAACGAGATCTACTTTACCCAGCAGAGCTCAGAATGCCCCTTTAGCAAGCACACCCTTTCAGCAAGTTGATCCGCCCCCTCGTGAATAATTCACAAGCCGGTACTTCCAGCGGGCCAGGTGGGAAAGAGGCAAAAATGGGCTTAACAGCCCCGCCTCCTCATGAGTAATGAATAAAGCTATGGCCAAGGAGGCCCGGTGGCATCGGGTCCCCTTGGGCAGAGCCTAGCAGGCTGGGTTCCTGCGTCCCTTCCACAGCCTAGGCTCGGGGCTCCTCTCCCTAACAACGTGTGGGCCTTAATGTGTTCCGTCTCGCCGGAGTATCCAAGCGCGCAGGGGGAGTTCATCATAGAACCAAAGGTCACAAAGGCCATCGATACCTTCACAATGCCACGTCGGTGCTGAATGTTCCCACTGTCATCAGGACCTTTCCTGAAACAAGTCCTCCCAAAATTCGCCTTGACTTCAGGAACGTCAAACTTAGCGTCGCTCCTTAGGGAACGCCTCAAATCCTGCCCCATGGGCAAAGTACTCATACACGAACTCTAAGAGCCTCCCCAAACATCCCTCTAAACCCTCTCTCGAGGGATTATAAACGCTATCTCCGAGGGAGACTCCTTAAACATACTCCTAAATCCCACCCCGGAGTCACCAAATGCCACTTCTTAAGGGCTCCCGCAAAAGCAGACACCCCCAAATGCCATTCCCGGCCCAGAGACTCCAAACATGTTCGTTAGGGGATTCCCGAAATTGAGCCCCCTCCCTCAAATGCTGTCTTGGGGCTTGGGGGCACCGTGCTCCAGCTCACCCCCTGCGCTGGGCGGAAGCCTCGCCTTCCTGCTGGAGATGAGCCGAAGCCACGGGGCAACGGAAGAGCAAACCACCTCGGTCGCACAAGAGGAGCCAGAGTTTGCGCGGAGGTCGGAAGCGCGGGGCCTCTGAGGGCCCCCGGTTTGGGATGTACCACTGATGCTTAGCTATAGGGGTGCCCGCCCCTGTTTGCGGTCCGTTGGCGCCTGTATCAGACCCAGACACCCCTAAGGGTTGTGGTACTTCCCTAACGCGCGAGGCACGCTGGGGGTAGTAGTCCTGCATGGTCAATGTCTGGTGCACGTGGTGGGCTTCAGCGCCCAGGGTAAGGGAAAATGTAAACCTGGCATGTGAAATTCCGGGAGCCGCGCTGGGGGCGTGAGGAAGCAAGGGGAGCTTGGGGGAAACCTCCAGATGGAAAGGCACACCCATCCTACAGATTAGAAGACTGAGGCTCAGATCGCCAGAAGAGTTCATTCATTTGACACGTATGGAACTCAAGCTGTGAGTCAAGTGCTACGGATTCTTTCTAGCCCTCACGGCGCTGTCATCCTAGCGAGAGAGACAGACTGTAAATTTAAAAAATAAGTAGCAAGTATAGTTTTGCATATAAATACGTATTGTAATAGATACATGTGACAATACAATAGAAATTAAATATAATAAAATGTACATATAAATACTACATATTTTACATTAACATAACTAGTGTCATTATATAAATAATTTGCATCTGTTTGTCTATAATGCCATTAAATACATTGTGTATATTCTATATTCTTATGTGAGTATATAGTTAAATATACACGTGAATGTGTTGTATATATATATGATAACTGCTAAATGCTGTGGAGAAAAATAGAGCAAAATAAGGGGAAATCTGTTGGAACAGGGGCCTCCCAAGTGGCTTAAGGGGTTAAGTGTGAGCACTATGAAGCTATTGGCAGCCACTGCAGCAAAAGTTCGATCCCTGGCCAGGGAGGTGACCCACATGGCGCAGCAGACCTCTCCTGTCTCACCTGCTGCTCCCCTCAGCAGTGTATTTCAGTTGATCCACCTGTTCTGCTCCCCACTCTGTCTCTGGTGAATCCTCTCACCCTCCCCCCACCCCCGCACCTCTGGCCTGTACCCCAGTTCTTGTATGCATAAATAAATAAATCGTTTAAAAAATCTGTTGGAACGGGTTGCAATTTTAAATAACTTGGTCAAGGAAGAAGGTGAAGTTTGATCGAAGGTGCCTTTTATCGCCTGGCCCCGAATTCTGTAGCTTATATGCTCTCCACAACCTCCAAGTCTGCTCGTTTGATTTATTGAATGTCTACTAAATGCAGGGCAATGGGAATATAGCAGGGTGACTGTTCTTGCAATAGACGAGAACACTCTTCCCCAGGTATTTCCCTACTTATTTATCCTTTGCCTCACCTCAGAAAGACCTCTCCTGATACTCCATCTGAAGTCATCAGGGAATACCTCTCTGAGGAGGTGGCATGTGAGCAGTGAGGGAGTGAAAAGGAAGGAAAGAAGCCATGTGTAGGGACAGGGATTATCAGGTACAAAGTCTTGAGATTGGAAGTTGTTGGTGTGTTTGAGGAAAACCATCTGAGGAATCTTCAGATGGAAAAGCACACCCATCCTACAGATTGAAGGCTGAGGCTCAGATGGCCAAAGGAGTTGATTCAGTTGACATTTATGGAGCTCAAACTGTGAGCCAGGTGCTACGAATTCTTCCCTCCCCTCACAGAGCTCTCATTTTAGGGAGAGGGACAGACTATAAATTGTGTAATTGGAGAGGAGTAAGGGAGTTGGGAAGTGACATCTAAAGCTATGACATGCAGGGTGGTTGAGATGATTGGCTTTTATTCTAAGATTTGTGGGGAGCCATAAGAGGATTTTAAGCAGGGGGAGTTGCATTATATAAATTATATTTTAGAATAGATAATCTGGCTGCTCAGTGTGGAGAGAACAAATTGTATGGGGACGGGGCCTCCCTGGTGGCACAAAGGGTTAAGTGTCAGCACTGTGAAGCTATCAGCAGCCATTGCAGCCCAAGTTTGATCCCTGGCCAGGGAGATGACCCACATGGTGCAGCAGACCTCTCTTGTCTCGCCCGCTGCTTCCCGCAGCAGTGTATTTCAGTAGATCCACCTGTTCTGTTCCCCACTCTGTCTCTGGTAAATCCTCTTACACACACCCCACACCTCTGGCCTACACCCCAGTTCTTGTATGCATAAATAAATAAATCTTTTTTAAAAAACTGTATGGAGAAAGTAGAAGCAGGAAATCCAGTGGAAAGGCCCCTACAAGAGTCCAGGATGTGATGGGAAAGAGATCAAGACGGAGTGAAAGTGGAAGTAATGAAGAGAGATTAGATTTGGGGTTGATTATGAAGGTAAGGATGGGATTTGTCAAGAGGTCAGATATGGAGCATGAAAAATAGAGAGGAGTCCTGGTTGACCCCCAGGATTTTAGCCTGAGTAACTAGATGGATCAACTGGTATGGGAAATACTCCATTAGGAGCAGGCATGGGGGAAGACCTGGAGTTTTTGGGTTCCATTTGAGATGCCTGTTAGACATCCAAGTTGAGATGTCAGTTGAGTGAACAGTTAGGGACTAGGTTTGAAATTCAAGGTATAGAAGAAGGATGTCTGGAGTAGAGATAAATGGATCTGGGGACCATCAGATGTGACAACTGGTAAGCTATGGAAACAACCCAAATGCCCAAAAATAGATGGCTGGATCAAGATGTGGTACATATACACAACAGAATATTACACAGCTATAAAGAAAGATAAACTCATGCAATTTGCAGCAACATGGATGGAGCTGGAAGGAATCATGCTCAGCGAAATAAGTCAGAAAGAAAAATATCGAATGGTCTCCACTCATAGCAGGAATTTAGAAAACCCAAATAAGGGACCAGAAAAAATACTAATTATAATATATAATAGAGTAAAAGTCAAAATCAACAAGCAGCTATAAACTAGAGACATACTACGGCGGGGTGGGGGTGGGAGGTAGTAGGATCAAAACAAGGGGGGTGGGAATTGTATGGGGATTATAACCAATATGAAAATGCATACATTGGGCCTCCTTGGTGGTGCAAGGGGTTAAGATGTTAAGATGCAAACTATGAAGCTGTCTGCAGCTTCTGCAGTACAAGTTCGATCCCAGGCCGCCCGGGGACCTACCCACACAGTGCAGCAGACCTCTCCTGACTCGCCCCCGCTGCTCCCCTCAGCATTGTACTTCGGTCAATCTGCCTGTTCGGCTCCCCACTCTGTTTCTGGTGAATCCTCTCACCCCCCACACCTCTGGCCTGTACCCCAGCTCTTATATGCAAAATAAAATAATTTTTTTTAGAAAAAGAAAATGCATACATTGTGCAAAAATGAAAAATGATGTAAAAATAAATTAAATTAAATAAAGAAGTGACAACTGAAGCCATGGGTGTGGCCAAATTAATCTGAAGAATTAATTGCCTTCAAATGGACCAGTGGGAATAATTGAGGCAGGCTTTGTTCCCAAGTGACAGGGAAGGGGTTCCAGTTGGAGGAAACAGCTTTGGCAAAAACCTGAGGAGGTAGAAGAGAAGGGAGAGGAGAGAGGGGGAAGACGGAGGTAAGTTTTACCATTTTGTGTTGCATCCAGTCATGTGCATGGGTGTCTGTTGGTTCACAGCCTCGCTGAATCAATTTTTTTTTAAGATTTCTTTTATTTATTTATGCATACAAGAGCTGGGGTACAGGCCAAAGATATGGGTGGGGGTGAGAGGATTCACCAGAGACAGAGTGGGGAGCAGAACTGGCAGATTTCTGAAATACACTGCTGAGGGGAGCAGCGGGCGAGACAGGAGAGGTCTGCTGTGCCATGTGAGTTAGCTCCCTGGCTGAGGATCAAACTCATGAATCAATTTCAATTACAATTTGCATTTCTCTTGTTACGAGTGAGCTTGCAAGCATCTTTTCATAGATTTAAAGGCTATTGCATTTTTTTCTAGGAATTTCCTGTTTGTGTACTGTATCCATTTTTCTATTGGGTTATACTACTGCTTCTTAGGGGTTTAGGAACTCTATATATTTGCCTTTTCTTCTTTTAAAAATGAGTCTTGAGGATGACAGTGATTTGAAAAGTTGTGATGTGTGTCACATGCTTCCAAGGCCAGATGTGTACCAAACCCTGTTCTGGGCATTGGGAACATAGTGGTGAGCAAGGCTGACAAAAGTCTACCCTTGTGGAGCTTTCTAGAAAGTGAAGGAGACAGTAAAGTAAGGAAAATAATAGAGTGTATTAGAAATTGAGAAGTGTTACAGAGAAAAGGGGTGTAGGGAATGTGGGTGGGGGAGATTGGAATTTTATTATTTATGCACATAAGAATGGGGTACAGGCCAGAGGTATGGGGGGGTTGAGAGGATTCACCAGAGACAGAGTGGGGAGCAGAACAGGCAGAACGACTGAAATACAATGCTGAGGGG